GATGCGATTCAATTTAGTTGCTATTTGTGTTTATGCTTCCAAGCTTGGTTTTTGAGAGGTTTTTGGTCACGGAATTAATTTTGTGTTTATGGTTCATGTATGATTAAAGTTTTTGTATAGTTTTATATTGGGTTGCGGATGTTTTTGGAAGTACAAGAATTTGTGCTTTTGTGGATGCGAACAATTTGTGCGTACTGAGCTTGATAATGGATCACCGATAGATAACAGCCCTGAAATTTATCAGAGTTTAGAGTGTGTACATTGAACTCTTTAACTCAAACCCATAAAGATCTCTGAACTCCGCACCAAAATCCAGTGACCATGATATGGACACTTGGACACCTATATGTATGTAAGTTACTGTAAATATGTTAGTCATTGTAAATGTGGTTATAAATAGATTTTCACATGTATGTAAATATGTTAGTCATTGTAGTTTCTGGTATCTTTTTGCTGAAATTGTTTTGGTCCCTGCTACTAAGCTCTGATTTCTGCTATTAATTGCTGCTGAAATGTGACTTGTCCTATTAGTTTTTTACCTGTGACAGCCCGTTCTGAAAATTTTGAAAACGTACATGTGAAAAGATGATTTTGCCCCTAGCGAGATTTTCGTTGTGTGGTTGTTCTTTTTGGTTTGGTGTGGCTGGTTTTGCACCACACATTCTTCCCCACACTCACCCTCACCTTTCCCTTGCCCTGCACCCTTATCCCGAGCCCTCTCCCTTCCCATTTTCCATACAATGTATGGACACACACACAAACCCATCAAATCTTCACAGATCGAAGAAACAAAGTACATATCCATGCTCGTGAGGCTCGTAGGAGTCCAACCATACCCATTTCAGGTAAGGTTACCTTCGTTTTCACGTCGAACTTGAGATACCCAATTTTGGTACTGTTCATGCACACGTAATTTCTCATGTTTTTGGGAATTTCAAGCTTGTAGGAAGCTTGGTGAGGTTCCTAGGAGGCTCGGGGTGGTTCGTTTGAAGGTTTTGGACGTCGGGATCGTGAGTTTCGAGGTTGGCCGGAGTTGGGGGTGATTTCCAGGCGAGATTTCGTGGATTTTAGCACTTGAAAGTGGTATGATTTTGTTCCTCTCGTTGTAAGCTTCATTTTGGTACCAATTTTGTGAAATTTGGTTGAAAAACGAAGAAGATAGGACGATTTGAATTTTTCTCGATTTTCCGGCGCCGTCGCCGGCGCCGAAATATTCCGTCAGTTTGGACGGAATATTCCTAACGCCGTTGACGGAAAATTGTTAAAGATAACGGAATATTCCTGATGGCGTCAACTGACGCCGTCAGCATGCCAGGCACGTGCCTGCGCGTGGCCGGCGCGTGGGGGCGCGTGCGGCGGTGAAATTTTTTTCTAAATATATGGGGATGTTCCTGAGGTTGAGTAGATCACGTTGGTGTATTCATACACCCCATTTGAGCAATGTTTGAGAAGTTATTTCTAAAGGTTGGTTATTGCTTTAAAATTAACGTTTTTATAGTTGTTTCGCATATAGGTGAGACGTATCCCGAGGACGAGCGTGGTCACTCGAGACAAGGGGGTTACAACCCTTCTACGTACCAGTGAGTGGGCTTTTGGTTTTCTGTATATACCTATATACTTATACGTTTCCCAGAAAATGAATTAAAATGTTTTTACATTATTATGCCATGTTTATTGGTTGCCGTTCGTTTATGCATTATTAGTCATATATATATACATGTGTATTGGTGCCGTGGACGCACAGGTAAGTGTCAGGTGAGTATGATTTTATATTTACGTTCAGTAGTGTTTCTAGTTACATAGAGAGCTCATAACCTGCACCCCCGGTGTTAATGCTCCCGCCCAGAGTAGGGCACAATCCTTCACGTGATGTTCACCTTCCGCACCACACGCTCATCTTGGATCCAAGTTAGGTGCACAGGCTTGTCGTACAGACCACTTTAGGTGGTTCCGACTCGTGTGCAGGTCTAGCTAGTGAGATAGAGATTTGAGCTCTATATTCAGCCGTACAGGTCACGTTAGGTGACTCCAGCTGACAGATTATATGATATTGATATGACATTTCCTGTCCACTTGCATTTCACTTTGACAATTGTAGTAATGATGTAAGTAATGATGTAAGTAGGGATGTGACACACAAATTAAACCCTATTTGTGACAATTGTAGTAATGATGTAAGTAGGGATCATTCTAACCGGGGATTAACTAGGGGTGCTAAACACTTTAAACTGACTCAAATAAATAAAACTAACCTTTAAAACACTTAACTCACTTAACAAAAACTCAAAACAAGTCCACAAGACTCCAAATACTTAAAAACACAAAATAAGATAGATTGTAATGACTAAGACTAAACAAAATATGGGGGGGATTGTGTTTGGACGAAATTAAATTAAATGGACAGATTATAAAGAAAACAGATTGTAAGACAAATTGTGATAGACCAATGGATGATGGAATAGCTAAGGGGTTCTTCTCCACACATGAAATATATGCAACGTAAATCACTTTCCAGTTATCAATTCAATAAGTTATGAACCTCGACACTCCAAGTTAATTAGGTCCGCTTAAATTAACCTTCAGATTTCCCTAGAATCATTGAATTGGATGAATATGCATCACAAACAAATTATTCCTAACAAGTTCTTTATATGAACAACATGATAAAGATACAAGTTAGAATCATTACGTTCTTTGGAAATCATAAGCATCGACAAGGCATTTGTAACTATGAAAAGCATGAAACTCTTGCCAGGAATCTACTTAACATGATCGTGACTAGCGACCTTCACTACTTGTGAATATAAATTCATAACGATTAGGTGAAACAAACTTATATCCTAGCACCAAATTCAAGCATGCAAATTAAGCCTGCACTCTCAATCAACATACAAGAATAAGTTCTAAATCAAACGGTTAAGCAAATTGTATTCACGACTTATGCAACGATAACTGGAAGTAATCAACTTATTTCACATATATAATCATAGTTTCGAATACACCCTTAGCCAAGGGGGGTTTAGTTCCTCATACGTACAAGACAAAGATAAGTAAATTTAACCATTGAAATCAAGGAGAGAAAACACCTAAAAATTCCAACAACTCAAACTTGAATTGTATGAACGTTTAGGCCCTCTTCTCCTCCTCTTTGTTGTGGCACAAGGTCTAAGGACATGTTTTGGGATGGTATTTGTATGGAGGAATGGATGTGTGATGGTAAGGTAGTGTTTTGGAGGGATGGGGAGTGGTTGGAGTGGCTGCAATTAAGGGGGGGAAAGCTGGAATGGGTGCTGTTTTGCACGGCAAAGGGATTCTTTTATGAGGGAAATGAGAGAGAATGGATGATGGTGTAAAGTGTGTATGAATGCTCTTTTGTGGCTGCAATGGATGTTTATTTATAGGTGGCTGAATGGATTAAAGAGGGAATGATGATGGGAGAGCATGTGGGTGAATTATAGAATGGGAAAGCATATGAGTGACAGCTAGGGTGATTGGTGGCTGCAATAATGAAGGGGGAGAGCTGGAAAGCTGCAGCAAGGTGTGTGGAGGTGCTGGAATTGATGGTGAATGCACGGTTTTAAGGGCTTAATATGGCTTGGGTGATTAATCCATGGGAGAGACAGCTAGGGGGGAATATATGCATGATGATGGCTGAATTATATAATGAAAAGTGAATGATTAAAGCTCTAGTGTTAGGACAAAAGGTGCGGCTGAAATGTGTGTTTTGGGTCCCTTTAGAATGGATGGAAGATGTGGCTGATATTGGAGGAGAAGGCTTAGGGTTTTTTTGGATGGAAGTTATGGATTCTAGGGAAAATATGGAAGGGTGGCTGCAAGATGAAAAGAATGAATGATTGGGATTCTAGGGTGAATTAAAGGATGCGGCTGAGATGTGGAATTAGAGGGATTAGGGTCTAAGTGCATAAAATGGGACAAAACTACCCCCCTTGCACGGCAAGGGAAGGGAATTAGGGGAAAGGCACGACATGGGTTGGAAAGTGGGCTAGGGCCTTGGTCTTGTGTATTAAAGTGCATACAAGGCCTTCAATTTCGTCCAACACTTTGGCTCCAAGCATAAGCTATCCATCCTTAGCCCAAAAGTGCTCCAAAAGGCTCCAAAATGCACTTCTTTGCTCCTTTAGCCCTTAGAACCTGAAAACATACGAAAATAACTTAAAAGACTTAAAGAACTAAGAAATAACAACGTAAATGCACAAGAATAAGCCAACTAAGTTGCCTAAATATGCTCCTATCAAATGTATGAGAAGTTATTTCTAAAGGTTGGTTATTGCTTTAAAATTAACGTTTTTATAGTTGTTTCGCATATAGGTGAGACGTATCCCGAGGACGAGCGTGGTCACTCGAGACAAGGGGGTTACGACCCTTCTACGTACCAGTGAGTGGGCTTTTGGTTTTCCGTATATACCTATATACTTATACGTTTCCCAGAAAATGAATTAAAATGTTTTTACATTATTATGCCATGTTTATTGGTTGCCGTTCGTTTATGCATTATTAGTCATATATATATATGTGACATCCCATCCCAAAACCTCGAAAACTCTTGCGTGAAATTACTATTTTGCCCCTAGTTCGTCCTTTTTCGTTTATTGATTTTTGGTGTTGTGTTGGCTTGTCCTTGGGCCACACACACACCCCCATACCTGCACCACCTTCTGTCTCTCTCTCTCTCTCTCTCCCGTGCTCCCTTTCCCCTTCCTTTTCACCATATACGTACGGACCAAACCCAAAACCCACCAAATCCTTGCAGATCGAAGGAACCAAGGACACCATCAATGTGACATCCCACATCGTCCAGGGGAGCGATCCTTAAATGTATATTCCCATCCCTACCTAGCACGAGGCCTTTTAGGAGCTCACTGGCTTCGGGTTCCGTAGGAACTCCAAAGTTAAGTGAGTAGCGCGCGAGAGCATTCCCAGGATGGGTGACCCATCGGGAAGTTCTTGTGTGAGTTCCCAAAAACAAAACCGTGAGGGCGTGGTCAGGGCCCAAAGCGGACAATATCGTGCTACGGTGGTGGAGCGGGCCCGGGAAGTGGTCCCTCCCGGGCCGGGATGTGACAATCAAGCTCGTGAGGCTGTGAGAAGCACAGGGGTACCATTTTCAGGTACGGTTGTGGCTATTTTCACGTTGATTTCACAAGGTCCGTTTTAGTCACTGTTCATGCAAGGTTAATCTAGTTAGTTTTTGGACTTTTGAAGCTTGTAGATGTGTTGGTGAGGTTCCAAGGAGCTTGGGAGTGCATCGTTGGACGGAATTGGACGTCGGATTAGCCTGGTTCGAGTTTGACCGGTTTTGGTAATTGGTGACAGGTGAGTTCTTGTGAGTTTTAGTCCTTAAAACTTATAGGGACATGTTCTACTAGTTCTAAGGGTTAAAATGGTGTAAATATCATGGAAAATGGTGGAAAAACGAACGAGAAAACGTGATTTGCAGGTTTTCCGACGACGGCGCCGGAGAATTGAACGGAGAAGGAGACGGAATATTCCGTCAATTCTGGCGGAATATTCCTGACGCCGTTAACGAAATCTGTCAGTTTTGACGGAATATTCCTAACGACGTCAGTTGACGCCGTCAGCGTGCCAGGCACGTGCTTGCGCGTGGTGGCGCGTGCGGCGGTGAAAATTTTTTCTAAAAATTCTGGTGTGTTGCTGAGGTTGTGTAGAGCACGTTGGTATATTCAATTGTCCATTTTGAGCAATGTTTAAGAAGTTATTTTGAACGGAAGGTTATGTGCTTTAAAATTAACGTTTTTATAGTATTTTCGCATATAGGTGACACGTATCCCGAGGACGAGCGTGCACACGCGAGGCAGGGGGGCTACGACCCTTCCACGTACCAGTGAGTGGGCTTTTGATTTCCGTATATACCTATATACATATAATTCCCAGAAATTAGTATAAATGCTTATTATTTGCATGCCATTCCTTTTATGTTATTGGTTGATATGCATGATTGTGGCATATAAGTTGATTTATATATTCATTCATATGTCATATATATATGTTGGTGCTGTGGAGGCATAGGTAAGTGCCAGGTAAGCGTTATTTAACCCTTGCATTAAATAGTGGTTAGAGATGATTAGAGAGCTCATAACCTGCACCCCCGGTGTTAGTGCTCCCGCCCAGAGTAGGGCATAGTCCTTCACGTGTTGTTCACCTCCCGCACCACACGCTCAGCTTGGATCCAAGTTAGGTGCACAGTCCTGTCGTACAGACCACTTTAGGTGGTTCCGACTCGTAGGTGACCCGCGATTATTCGCACAGCCTTCACGTGATCGTAGCACTAGAGCGTTTATATGTATTACACCCAGGCCTGTCGTACAGACCACTATAGGTGGTTCCGACTCGTGGGCAGGTTTAGTGATTGAGATTGAGATTTGAGCTCTAGATTCAGTCGTACAGGTCACTTAGGGGACTCCGGCTGCCAGTGATATGTTATTGATGTGATTTATGCCTGAGCACTTACATATCATTATGAAGCTTTAAGATTGGCATACCTTTGAGCATGATTGGCATACCCTTGAGCATGATTGGCATATTTATACATACGTATATATGTTTATTTTCTGGGAAGTATACAGGTTTTACGGCGAGGGGTTAGAATGTATTTTACTAAATGGTTTTCAAAGAGCTTTGTTTTTGCCCACTCACGCTTTTGTTTTGCGCCCCTCCAGGTTCTAGTTGCTTAGCAAGTTCGGTGGTTTTCCCAGAGGACGTCCCGGCATTTCTGACAGACACTCTCCGATGTAGGGTCACCTTCGGGTGTACTACTGTCGTATCAATTTCTTTGGACTGCTGTAATCTTTATGCTCTGAATTCAGTGTCGTACCTACACTAGCACTTATCTTATCACATTATGTATGCTAGTTTTAAATTATTTGTACTTTTTCGATTAGCTTCCGCACTGTGCACATGGCTACGTCACTTCCACGTGACGGCCAGCATGCCCTGATTTCGGTCGGGGTGTGTCAATATACATGTGTATTGGTGCCGTGGACGCACAGGTAAGTGTCAGGTGAGTATGATTTTATATTTACGTTCAGTAGTGTTTCTAGTTACATAGAGAGCTCATAACCTGCACCCCCGGTGTTAATGCTCCCGCCCAGAGTAGGGCACAATCCTTCACGTGATGTTCACCTCCCGCACCACACGCTCATCTTGGATCCAAGTTAGGTGCACAGGCTTGTCGTACAGACCACTTTAGGTGGTTCCGACTCGTTGGTGACCCGCGATTATTCACCCAGTCTTCACGTGATCGCAGCACTTGAGCGTATTTATATATTACACCCAGGCCTGTCGTACAGACCACTTTAGGTGGATCCGACTCGTGTGCAGGTCTAGCTAGTGAGATAGAGATTTGAGCTCTATATTCAGCCGTACAGGTCACGTTAGGTGACTCCAGCTGACAGATTATATGATATTGATATGACATTTCCTGTCCACTTGCATTTCACTTTGAGGTTTTGGCATAGCATATTCCTGAGCATGACTTATATATATATATATATATATATATATACTATTTTCTGGGAAGTATACAGGTTTTACGGCGAGGGGTTAGAACTTATTTATTAAATTGGTTTTCGAAAAGCTTTGTTTTTGCCCACTCACGCTTTTGTTTTGCGCCCCTCCAGGTTCTAGTTGGCTAGCACATTTGGTGGCTTCCCTGAGGACTTTTCCGGCATATCTGACAGACCACCACCAACGTAGGACCACCTTCGGGTGTGCTTTTGTTGTCGCCATTTCCTTTTGGACTACATTAGGCTTTATGCTCTGAACTTAGGGTTCACACTTATGCCTGCACTTGTTGTCTTTACTTTGTGTAAAGCTAGTTTTTATTTATTCGTACCATTTATATTATTATTTTATTAGCTTCCGCACTGTGCACATGGTTACGTCACTTCCACGTGACGGCCAGCATGCCCTGATCTCGATCGGGGTGTGTCATTACCCTTCATATTTATGCTGCTTTTGGATTCCATTCGAATTAAATAATGTAGTTAAACTTGATATGAATTCTCCCTGCAACAATATCCTTAAATTTTGCTATATCCTCAAATTTTTTATGGTGTTTGTTGTGTATTTTGATGCATTTTCTAATTTTTACAATGTTTTATAAACATACGAACAAAAATAAAAGAACAAAAACCAAGCCCCTGAATAATCTTTATTTCTCGATTCTTCTAGGCGAGGGACAATAGTGCATAAACTATTTTTCTAATTATGCTATGTATGGAGTCTATTATTAATCGAATTTTTTGTCATGTGCATAATAGTTCACATGCATGGTAATGAAAACAAATGTCATTGCATAAATATTTTTGCCTTTGCATGCCTTGCCTTGCTTCAACTCTAGCTTTGACCATCATCAAACATAAAAAAGCTGGCCTGATTCCTGATTCCTAATTTGACATGCATGACAACCATAAGGATGAATGAGAGAACGAAAGGGTCTCATCCTCCTTTAAGTGCTTGAATAAGTGCTATTGATAAGTAGTCTCTCTCAACGAACTACAAATAATTGAAAAAAAAAAATTTCGTAACTTACATATTTAATAAAATGAGTATAAGTAGCCTTATAACAAACACAAATTGGTTATTCAAACAGATTTATAAATATTTGTATTCATGTATTCTTTACTTACAAAAAAATAATTGATGTATTTTCTTTGTTGTTTCAGATTTTTAAGATTTTAAACAATGTTGCTAAAGTCTACCAAATTTTTTTTTTAAAAAACATTTATTGACATTATATTTAAGTTTTGATTCAGAGAAAATAAAATGGTGAAAGAGATCGATCGAAAAGAACAACAAATTCTAGGAGGGGTTTTGGTAAAAGATTTAAGAAGATTGGTAAAAGCTCAAAAAGAAGAACAACTTCGAGGGACAAAATTGTTTTATTCAGAGACTGCTCCAGGACCCAGCACATCAAGAGTACAAAAAATAGAAAAAATAAGAATGGGTTTATGTGTTTATGGAAAAGGTGTCAATCGAAACAAGTTGGTCGTCCACACTATGTATTCACCTACAAATCGTAGTAATCCACCAAAAGAAAATGTTCAGAAGAACTGTTTTGGGTTGTACAATTGGATTTGCAAGTTTAAACGTCCGAAGAAGATTGGGATGCTCCTTCTTTGGTTCATCTCCACTGTAGTGGTTTTTTGGATTTTAAAAAATATGTAGGGATCAGCTGGATTTTGAATTTTAAAAAAGGTTGTGTGAACCTTTTTTGTTGGCTAATAAGTATAACGATGTAAACAATGAAGTGGTTTTTTGAATTGTGAATATGTAAGGATGGTTGACGTATAAGTGTAATGATGTAAACAATGAACACCCTTATCGGTTTAATAATTAAGTGTTATTAGTTTTTTAGTTCTCATTAATTCATTTCTGCCTTTAACCAAAAAAAAAAATCATTTCTACCTTAATGCAATTTTTCCCTAATTTTGCGATTTGACATAATTGATGTTCATATTCCATTTACTATATAACAAAGATAATCACATTATTCAGAAATAATTCATGTTTTGCTTCAACTTTAATTTACCTTTATTTTTATATTGTTTATGTTTATTGGCTGGTTAATCTATTGTTTACCTAGAGTTGTTTTTCTCTTTGTTTATTTCATTATGTCGTGTATGTGCTTACATTTATAGTTTTTTTTGGTTCTTTATCTTTCTATTATCCAGGTTTTTGCAATTAATTGCTCACACTTGCCAGTGATTCCTTTTGCAACTACAAACTGGTTAGCTTTCTCGCTTTTTACATATGAATTGGTTTTCAAATTAAACTTTCATCTTATTTACTTTCTTTGTTTTCATTTTAGAGAATTGAAAAATGGTTAGTTTTGGTAGATGTGGAGAAATGTTTAAGGTCTGAACATAGTTTATATGTGCTTTCTTTGATTTTGCTATTTTGTGCCTAAAACCTTGACAATCTTTGACAAGATCGCTAAAATTAAGCGCTCTTTATTTCTGGTGTTAGTCAAATTTAAGTAGGATTTTATTTATGCGATTATATTTTGGGTGTATTTGTGTTTTTAATGCACCCTTCTTTACGTGTGGCGATTTAATTAGTGAGTAAGGTGTAGTCATTCGTATGTTTTTTTATTTATTTGTGTAGTGTTATGCCTAGGAAACTCAGAATACTTGGGAAGGCTGCTGAAATTCAGCATGCCAATTTGCGCATCTTTAATGGTGATGTTTATCCAGATGATGTGGTTTTGCAAGATGTCCCAACTTCTTACGATCAAGAATATAACAATGTTTCAAACTCTTTACTATTACATGACAATACAACCAATCCTATTCAACCCTATACATCTGTTTTGAAACAAAATGCATCTGTTGGCGATGGATTCAACTCATCTTCGTCTGTTGCTAGCACTTCACATGAAATCACCGTCCCTGTTTTTCTTGCGAATGATGCCACTTTGCGTGGTATATTGGTCACTGATACTGAAGTTGGGCATTCTGTTAGAAGCTCACATGTGATTGGTCAAGCCGCTTATCAAAAAAAAAAAAGAAAACATATGTGCTCTTACAATACAATTATCTTTGCATTTTTTTTGCTTATTTAAAAACTTAACTTTTGTTCGCTGCTTTGGGGATGATTTTGTCGCTCTTTCTTTTCATAGGTGGTGTTCCAGATTATATTCATTTTGGCCCTAGAAATTTTCAATGTCAATATTGTGGCGCTTTATTTTGGTCTACAGAGCGGTTAAAAACAAACGTTTCTTCTACTAGAAGGCCACAATTCACTACATGCTGTATGAGTCAAAAAGTTAAATTCCCACCTGTTAAGCCCACCCCTGCTTATTTGGACCATCTGCTAAATCCAACAAATTCTCAAGAAAGTTCACGTTTCAAAAAAAATGTTAGGTTGTATAATTCAATGATGGCGTTCACTTCAATGGGGGCTAAAGTTGATGCATCAATAAACAAGGGTCAAGGTCCTTATGTTTTTAAGATTAATGGTCAAGTGCATCATTTAATGGGTTCTTTGTTGCCTCCTGAAGGCGAGAGCCCTAAATTTGCCTAGCTCTACATTTATGACACTCAAAATGAAGTCAACAATCATATGAGTTGTTTTCCTCATTCTGAAGCATCTTCAAAAGTTGACGAACAAATTGTTGGTGGGCTCATTAAAATGTTAGATGAATGTAATGAGTTGGTTCAATTATTTAGAGTTGCAAGGGATATGATTAATCAACAGTCAGCAAGTTCTTTGTGCTTGCGTTTGCACGGCACATCGAGCAACCATGATGCGCAATATAATCAACCAACATGCGACGGCATATGAGGGTTAATTGTTGGGGATATCGGTTAATTTCACACCGAAAAAGATATTATTATTGAACACAAGGTGACTGGTCTACAAAGGATAACAAAGTTGCATCCAAAATATATGGCTTTTCAGTATCCTATTCTTTTCCCATATGGTGAAGATGGATACAACAAAGGTCTTCCTTGGAATCCTGCTTTCAAAGGGAAAAAACCCAAGACTGGAGGGGTGTTTATGAGAGGTTTTCTAGGTTACCAAATTCAGGATAGACCAGGACAGGATAGCACCCCGTTAAAGGGTGGCAGATTGTTTCAACAATATTTAGTAAATGCATATGCCACACTTGAAGAAGATAGACTTGATTTCACTAGGACAAATCAAAGTTCTTTGAGAACTGAGCGTCTTAAAGGAATTCATGAGGCGTTAAAAAACGGAAATGCAAGTGGTTCAGACATTGGTAAGAGGATTATCTTGCCAACTTCATTTACTGGCAGTGCCAGGTATATGATAAATAATTATCAAGATGCCATGGCTATATGTCGTCACTTGGGAAATCCTGACTTATTCATCACCTTTACATGCAATGCTAAGTGGCCAGAAATTATTGAAGATCTACGTGAAAAACCTTGTTGTAAGGCTAAAGACAGACCAGACATCATATCCAGAAATTTCAAAGCAAAACTTGATCATATGGTTAAGTATATAAAATCAGGAAAACCTTTTGGCAAAATTGAATCTGGTTAGTTATTCACTTTTCCCAATTCTCAAGATTATTTGTTTGGTTTCTCTTATGAGCATAAACATTAGGCGCTTTGTTTTCATGTTTTTGTCTTATTTTTCTCCAAACAGTTATTTACACAGCTGAATTCCAAAAAAGAGGTCTCCCGCATTGTCACATCTTGGTTTGGGTCAGTAAAGAGTATAAATGTCATTCTCCTTCTGATGTGGATTCAATCATTTTGGCTGAAATTCCTAGCGAAGAATTTGACAAAGATGGGTATGTTGTTGTTGCACAGTATATGATTCATGGTCCATGCGGTCTTGCAAATAAAAAATCTCCTTGCATGAAAAATCTCCAGTTGTCTTATGTTGAATTTCCTTCGAAATATGTTTGGAATAGTGAAAATAAAGAGTGGACCTGAAGGAAAAATGGTAGATGTCTAGGTAGAGTTGCATATGTTCACCCTGCTACTGGTGAATTATACTATTTGAGATTATTGCTTAATTATCATAAAGGTGGCTTTTGTTTTAATGATTTAAGAACAATTAGAGGTGTTCTTCAACCCACATTTCAGGCTGCATGTAACTTACTTGGTCTGTTGGGAGATGACAAGGAGTGGAACAATGCAATGTTAGAAGCGGTAGTTACCGTATCATCGCATCAATTGCGACAATTGTTTATTACATTAGTTTTGTTTTGTGATGTTGCTGATCCAACAACTTTGCTTGAGGCACATTGGAAAATGATGTGTGATGACATCTCAATAAAGATGATTAATGCTTTTGGCTTGCAAGATATGTCTAAGTATGAGGATGAACTTAAAAATTCTCTTTTGTATGAGTTAGAAAAGTTGTTTGTTGCTTCATAGTTCTCTATCTAAACATCATCTCCCAATTCCAAGCAAAGATGTGATAGATAGACTTAAGAATAGAAGTTTAAGAGAGGAGTTAAACTACGACACTGAATCATTGAAAGAGCAACATTCACAGTTGGTTGCACAGTTGAATAAAGAACATATGATAGTGTCATAAAGATAGTTGATCACAATAAGCCTGGTATGTTTTTTGTTCATGGACATGGTGGGACTGGTAAAACTTTTTTGTGGACTGCAATCATAGCTAAGATTAGATCAGAGAACCATATTGTTTTGGCAGTAGCTTCATCTGGAATTGCCTCCCTTTTGCTTCCTGGAGGAAGAACTGCACACTCTCGATTTAAAATCCAATATTTCAACTACACGAATAGAGATGCACTAATTGATAGTTTTCCTTTTGAAACTTGTACCCTGTGTTGCAATTAGGGATGCAAGTTGGAATGATATTTTTGATTTTGATGGTAAAATTTCTGGATCCGACATGAAAATTCTGAATCTGAATATTTTTCAAAAAAATGAAATGGAATTTGGAATGCATTTCCAATCCAAATTTTTTGAAAGCGTTTTGAACTTATTATGCTAAAAAAAAATTCCGGAAAAAATTTCGAAAGTTGAAAAACTTTGTTTCCAATCCAATGCTTCCGAAACACATGAGTAGTTGCAATGCCTTAGCCTTAGTTTGACATTGAGGTGATTCTGAAAAAAAATGGCTATAAAAAAAAGCTGGGAGCTTTTTTATGTTTGGTAAACATTCATCTTTAGCTTTTGTTCACAGTTTGGGTAAAAAAAAGCTAAAAACACAAAGTTGCAAAACCCAGCTTTGAAAAACCAGATTTTTTTCCCATATGTTTTACATAAAAGTTTATCAAACACTATAATATTGCTTTTTTATTTTTTATTTTTTTTAATCAAAAGTACTTTTACAAAAAAGTTTACTAAACACTTTACTGTTTTATTTCACAACTGCTTATTCTTACAGCACAACAGAAACAGTTTTCTTTCAAAGCACAGTAATACCAAATCAGCCCTTAGTATGGTAGGAAAAAAAAGAAAGAAAAAGAAAGTAATTTTCCCATGAATAGGCCGGAATGGTCAGCCGTGATTCCGATAGAGCAAGACGACGGCCCGGACCCGGTCGTCCCCATAGCCTACAAGGAGCTGTTCACATAGACCATGAACTACTTCCGAGCCGTCTTCAGAGCCGACGAGCGATCGCCTCGCGCCCTTCAGCTCACCACCGAAGCCATCGAATTAAATTCAGGAAACTACACTGTGAGTTTCTAGTCTCTGTTCCACTATCGGTCTGTTTTTTGAATTTTCCAGGATTTGTTTACCCTGTTTGGTTGCTGAGAAAATCTGGGAAATTGGGATTTTGTGGTTCTGGCATTAAAGCGTCATGTTTTTTACTTGGAAATCTGTTTCTTGAAATATCCAGAAGCATTTACTGGCGATTTTCCTTTCTATTTTATATCCTTGGAGGATTTTTTACTTTTATGCTTTGTTTGGGTGCTGAGAAAGTTTAGTATTTTGTGATTCATTAAGAGTTGCTGAAAGATCATAGCTTTAGTGGGTTTTTCCCTTTGATATGCTTTCAGGACTTTTCTTTTTGTTTGTTTGGTTGATGGGAAAATCTGGAAACTGGAAAAAAAAAAATTCTACTAGTTGGGTAGATTTGAGATACAGTAAAATTCCTAGTGAAGTTTTCTAATTGTTTCGTTTTTCCCTCTTTTTGTAGATGTGGCATTACAGGCGCTTAATACTGGAGACTCTTAAAGCTGATTTACAGAATGAACTGGATTTCACCGATCATATAGCGCAGATTAACTCCAAAAATTATCAGTTGTCGTGAGTTACAAGTCCTTGTATAGATTTTATTGGAACTTCATATTGATTGGCTTGAATTTTTTCATTTTTCGGTTATGAATATTTCTAGGTAATTGTTTTATGTCCTGTGTCTCGTATCATGTTCAAGTTCTGTTCTACCACGCTTCTGTTTCTTGATCCTCGAGGAAGTCCGTTTGGCATATATGTGAACTGTTCAATACGCTAAAGAATCCTGGCAAAGTCATCGATGTAGGACAGTTTAAGTTGTAACTTGTAAGGAATTTAGCTTCCTACCATAATTGTTCATTAGCTAGTAATTATATGAAATCTTCAAGGAATTTGGACAACAATTTTCTGTTGTTAATGTAATTATTTTCTTTCTTTATTTTACATCAGTAGTAATTACTCGATTGTTGTAGTTTTGATTAAGTTACTTTAGTTATGAAATTAATCTATCAACATATATTTCCCCCAAAACAAATCTATGAGTTTTACTGGCGTTTTACTCTTACCCTCTCGTACCACTCCATTAATCTCATGACACATACTTGCAGGCATCATAGGCGGTGGGTTGCCAAGATATTGGGAACTAATGCTACAAGTGCGGAACTTGAGTTTACAAAGAAGATGCTCTTGGGTGATGCTAAAAACTATCACGCTTGGTGTCATTGGCAGGTTTGTTTCTTCCTCTGACTCTACTTTGCTAAATGCACGAGACGATTTGTTTTAAGTACTTATTTTTGTTAATTAAAGGAGCACTTTGAGCACTATTGCTGACACATCCCGACCGAGATCAGGGCATGCCGGCCGTTACGTGGAAGTGACGTAACCATGTGCACAGTGCGGAAGCTAATAAAATAATAATAAAAGTACGAATAAATAAAAACCAACTTTACACAAAGTAAGAACATACATTTGCAAGTGTAAGTGTGAAAAACAAAGTTCAGAGCTCGAAAACCTAATGCAGTCCGGGAGAAACAACACTACGTAAACACACCCGAAGGTGGTCCTACACTGGTGATAATCTGCCAGAGATGTCGGGGAAATCCTCTGGGGAGCCACCAAAAGTGCTAGCCAACTAGAACCTGGAGGGGCGCAAAACAAAAGCGTGAGTGGGCAAAAACAAAACTTTTCAAAAACCATTTCAAAAACAAGATTCTAACCCCTCGCCGTAAAACCTGTATACTTCCCAGAAAAGTAGAATATACATATATATAAGTCATGCTCGGGAATATGCCATACCAAATGTCTCTCAATAGAATGCAAGTGCTCAAGAATGTCAAATCAATGTCATGTAATCTGTCAGCCGGAGTCACCTAACGTGACCTGTACGGCTGAATCTAGAGCTCAATCTCCATCTCACTAACTATACCTGTACACGAATCGGAACCACTTAAAGTGGTCTGTACGACAGGACTGGGTGTAATATATATACGCTTAAGTGCTACGATCACGTGAAGGCTGGGTGACGAATCGCGAGTCACCTACGAGTCGGAACCACCTAAAGTAGTCTGTAGGACAGGATTGTGCACCTAACTTGGATCCAAGATGAGCGTGTGGTGCGGGAGGTGAACATCACGTGAAGGACTGTGCCCAACTCTGGACGGGAGCACTAACACTGGGGGTGCAGGTTATGAGCTCTCTATGCATCTCAAATCGCTACTGAACGTAACATAAAACATAACTCACCTGGCACTTACCTGTGCGTCCGCAACACCAAACATATATATATATATATATATATACAACTAATAATGCGTAAATAAATGGCAACCAATAAACATGGCATATAAACGAATAAACGTTTCAAATCAATTTTTGGGAAAACATGAGTATATAGGTATATACGGAAAACCAAAAGCTCACTCATTGGTATGTAGAAGGGTCGTAACCCCCTTCTTTCGAGTGACCGCGTTCGTCCTTGGGATAGGTCTCACCTATATGCGAAACAACTATAAAAACGTTAATTTTAAAGCACATAACCAACCTTATGAAATAACTTCTCATACAAAACTCAAATAGGGTGTATGAATACACAACGTGATCTACTCAACTTCAGGAATATCTCCATATTTTTAGAAAAAATTTTCACCGTCGCACGTGCCTCCACGCGCCAGCAACGCGCAGGCACGTGCTTGTCACACTGACGGCGTCAGTTAACGCCGTCAGGAATATTCCGTTAATGCCGTTAGGAATATTATGTCCAAACTGATGGAATATTCCGTCGTCTTCTCCGGCGAGGCTCTGGCGCAGTCGTTGGCGTCGAAAAATCGAGAAAACTTCAAAGCTTCGTATCTTCTTCGTTTTTCAACCAAATTTCACAAAATTGGTACCAAAATGAAGCTCACAACAAGAGGAACAATTCCATACCACTTTCAAGTGCTAAAACATACGGACACTCGCCGAGAAAACACCACCAACTTTGGCCAACCTTGAGTCTCACGATCCCGACATCCAAAACCTTCAAACGAACCACCCCAAGCCTCCTAAGGACCTCACCAAGTTTCTTACAAGCTTGAAATTCTCAAAAACACAATAATTAACGTATGCATGAACAGTGACAAAATCGGGGTATTCCGAGTTCGAAGTGAAAACGAAGGTATCCTTACCTGAAATGGGTATGGTTGAACTTCTACGGACCTCACGAGCATGAATATGTACTTTGTTTCCTCGATCTGTGAAGATTTGAATGGATTTTGGTTGTGTCCGTACGTATTGGATAGAAATGGGAGAGAGAGGGGACTCGAGACAGGATGCAGGGCAGGGAAAAGGTGAGGGAAGTGTGGGGGAGTGTGCGTGTGGTCCACAACCTGCCAACAAAAATAAAAAACAACCATACAACGAAATAACCACACTAGGGGCAAAAACGTCATTTCACCCTAACGGTTTGAACATTCCAGAACGGGCTGTCACAACCTATTCACCTTAAAGGAATTTCGTCCCGAAATTCAAAACAACCACACAAAACAACCCCTAGCGATCAAAGAACAACCGAGGATACAAATCCCTCATCCGATCTTCAGTTTCCCACGTAACTTCCTCCACGGAATGATTCCTTCACAAAAGTTTCACCAAGTTCACTGTCTTGTTCCTCAGAACCTTTTCTTTCCAATCTAGAATCGTCATTGGTTTCTCATCATAAGTCAAATCCGGGTTGATTTCCAAGGGTTGAGGAGGTATCACATGAGACGAATCAGCAACATAATGTCGAAGCATGGACACGTGAAAAACGTTATGTACTCTAGCCAACTCCGGAGGCAACTTCAGCCTGTAAGCTACCTCGCCAACTCGCTTAGTGACCATGTACGATCCGATATAACTGGGACTCAGCTTACCTTTCTTTCCAAACCGTACAACACCTCTCCACGGTGAAAACTTCAGAAATACCTAATCGCCAACCTCATACACTTTGTCAGTAGCATGCCGATCTGCTAAACTCTTCTGCCTATCCTGAGTCGCCTTCAAGTTAGACTTAATTACCTGAACATTTTGAGTAGTCTCCTCAACAATTTCCGGGCCCACCAAAACTCTTTCTCCGACCTCAAACCAACACAAGGGCGTGCGACAAGATCTACCATCCAACGCCTCAAATGGTGCCATGCCGATACTCGAATGAAAGCTGTTGTTGTAGGCAAATTCCATTAAATCCAACCGCTGGTGCCAAGCATCACCAAACTGTAATACCGAAGCTCGCAACATATCCTCCAAAGTCTGAATGGTTCTTTCTGACTGTCCGTTCGTCTGAGGATGATACGCTGTACTATAAAGTAGTCTCGTACCCAAAGCTTCCTGAAACGCCATCCAAAACTTAGATGTAAATCTTGGATCACAATCCGAGACAATACTCACAGGGACACCATGGTACTTCACGATCTTCGAGATAAACAACTCAGCTAATCGGCCCAACAAATACTTCTCCCTCACTGGAATGAAATGTGCTGACTTAGTAAGCCGATCAACAATCACCCAAATGCCGTCAAATCCATTATGTGTACGCGGAAGCTTGTACACAAAATCCATAGTAATATTTTCCCATTTCCATTCTGGAACGGGAAGCGGATGCGACAACTCAAACGGCTTCTTCCTTTCCGCCTTAACTTGCTGACAAACAGCACACCTACTCACATACTCAGCTATCTCCCTCTTCATACCCGGCCAATAATAAAATGGTTGAATGGTATGATACATTTTAGTAGCTCCTGGATGCATACCATAAGCCGAGATATGTGTTTCATCGAGAATTGCTTTCTTTAAATCCGAATTATTAGGCACAAACATCCTACCCTCCTGCATCAGCATGCCATTCGAATCATGAACTTTGAGGTCTCTCCTCCTCCCTTGATCTCGAGTTTGAATTAGTTCTTCAGTTTCTCTATCAGCTACCTGAGCTTCAAGCATCCGATCAACCAAAATTGGTCTAACCTGAAAATTAACAAGTAAAGCTACCTCTCGATCTACTACCTCTAACCTCACTCCCGTAGATCTTAAGTCTGCCAGAAGAAGAATGCGACTAGCGTACAACGCATTGATACGGCCCTGAGACTTCCTGCTAAGTGCATTAGCCACTACATTTGCACGACCAGGGTGATAATCAGTCGTGCAGTCGTAATCACTGAGTAGCTCCATCCACCTCTGATGACGAAGATTAAGGTCCTTCTACGTAAAAATATACTGAAGACTCTTATGATCTGTAAAGATCTTACATTTCTCCCTATAAAGGTAATGTCTCCACAACTTCAACGAAAAAATAATGGTGGCTAACTTCAAATCATGTGTAGGGTAATTAAACTCATGAGGTTTCAGTTGTAGTGAAGCATAAACAATTACCCTACCATGCTGCATCAACACATAGCCCAAACCATTCAAAGAAGTATCACTATAAACCTCGAAATCACCACTATCGTCCGGAAGCGCCAAAACAGGTGCATGAGTGAGACAATACTTCAACTGCTGAAAACTCTGCTCACACTTATCATCCCACTCAAATTTAACGTCTTTCCTCGTTAATCTCGTCAGTGGTAAAGCAATCACAGAAAAATCTTTAACAAATCGTTGATAATACCCTGCTAAACCAAGGAAACTCCT